AGGGATGGACACTGGGAAGAGGTAACTATGGGGAGGAAATGGGAGGGGAGCTGTTGCATTGTGGTAAACTGTGGTCAATGACATGAAACAAAGTATATGTGAACTGCTGTATGGAAAGTGAATTTGCTCTGTAAACCTTCACCCAAGTTACAATTAAAAAAAAAAACAACCATGTGGACAAAAATCACACAGCAATAGGAGTGGAGGGGTACCATATCTCTGACCCTTGGTGCGGATTCTGACACCTCACAAAAAGGGTCATCAGTAGTTCTGTTTCTCTTGTATTCTAACAGAGCCTTGGTTTGGGGAAAAAGAGAAGAGCTGCAACGAGCAGGACACCTTATCCACAAACAGCCCTGCAATTCACCACAGGCTCCTCCTGATCACGCCCTGTGAGCCCGGATGCACTCCCCAGGGAGTTAGAGTCTCTCCCACCGGAGGCTCTCCGGGCTGTCCCAGGAACCCCCACTGGATCTGATGAGTCTAGAAGCACAGCAGGCTCCCCAGGGCAGTAGGCCTGTATCCAGCCCCAACAGTCAGATCAGCATCTAAGCACCAAGCTGCCCCATGTGCCGGGCAAACCACCACTAGTCTGGCACCGTGCCCAGGGTGTGCACACACCAACATACGGATGCAGGGCTTCTTGAGCCGTGGTGGAGAGGCATCACTCTGCCTGGCACAGCCTCATCAGCTTTATCAGTGTGCCACCCAGTGCAGCACTCAGTGGAGGAGATGCGGGAGATATACTGGCTCCAACTTTAAAACCTCACTATTCCTACCACCCACTCTTTGAGCACAAAATGAACTTCAGTGGATTTTATAGAGACACTAGAGATGCCAAAAGATAGCATGTTCCTCACTTATCTTTGCCCACGGAGATTTCTTGGTGTCCTACCTTAAACAAGCAGTCGATGGGAGTTGAAGTCATCTGAGACAGCAAGTTCATTCTTTGCTTAAGGAACATTCTGTCACCAAACCCCTCAGATTCCTGCAGGAAAACCCAAATGCTCAATTTTATCATTTATGATGACACAGCAGTGTAGATCATTCAAAACAACAGAGGACCCCAAGAATATTCCTTGCCGTTTCCCACACAACAGGAACTGCAGTGCCCCTTCTCCCAACACACACCTGGCTTCGTTCACTGCTATAGCAAGCAGACCCTCATGAGGCTGAGAGAAGGGCTTCCTGACTGCCCCTTCAGGAAGTGGCAGCTCTACAGACTGCTTGCTGATGGCAATCTTAGAGAGTGGCAGCACACCAGCCATCATGTGGGTGGGTGGAATTAGTCACCTCTAAGTGTAGAATGTAGCAAGCACACAGCACCATGGCCCAGATGGGAACCTGGACTTCTTCCAAATCATCCTGGCTTCCTCCCCTTCCCAAACATCCACGCCTACATAGCCCTATCAGCTGCCTCTTTATCCAGGGCCTACAAACAGTAAAAGCACCTGACAGGCTGGTGTGTCTCTATGTCCTAGTGTCAATCAGAAGAAGAGAAAGGGGTCATACCTCTGGCATGCTTTATTAAAACAGTGGACAATACAGTCACTGGCCCAAAACCTATCAAGACACTGGGGGAAATCCTCATATATGCATTAGCAGATCTCTTTTGGCATTTCAAGGATCCACCCCAATGAATAAAGTCAGATCTTCATATTACAGGTAATGTTTACCTAGATACAAAAATCTAAAAACATATTCTTACTTAATGAAATAATTTCTAGCAAAACATGTCACTGTTCACCTGAACCTCTGCATCCAAATTGCCTGATGACAAATTAGCTTCCTGAAAGAGTCTTGGCAGGAGGTAAAGGAGACTTTTCTCCAGCCAGTTGCTACCAGAAAAACTCAGCAAACCCTATCAACACCAGGTCGAGGTAAGGAGAGAGCCAAGAGCAGTTCAGAGGATGGGCCACTATCAGGGTTCTCTGTCAAGGCAGGGTCCCACATATTGGCTTCCCTAAGATATTAACTCAGCAAGTAAATATGAACACCTCAGAATTTGTCACTTTTGCTCCCAACTGCTACGTCTGCTCTAACAACCTGCTTTACACAGTGAATTATAGCCAAGCTGCTCAGGGTCAGAGAAACAGCGAAGACTACAGTTATTGTTCAGGTAAGTATAGGCTCTTTCCTCAACTCTAGGAGCCATGTGAGGTGTAGTGACTGAGAAACGCAGGTGTTCCAGGACTGAATCTCCAAGAATGAGCTCCCAGAAGTGACAGTGTTAGCTAAGATACATTTGGGAAAGGGGCAAATACTATTTATTAGAAACCCCATAAAGTGAGAAAGACCCTCAACAAGATGGACTGACACAGTGGCTGCACAACTGTGCAACAACAGCAACTATTGTAGGATCGTACAGGATTGAGCAGTGTTTCACTCTGTTGTATAAAGGGTTGCTATGAGCAGGAACCAACGTGATGGCACCTAACGACAATAACAAAGTGATAAAGACCACAAACACGCAAAGCTGGAGCAGTGAAGGGTAGAGATTCCTTCAAGGCCCCCAACAAACACATCTGCCCCATTTTGCTTCACAGTAGTGAAAACAGAGTAATATCCCAGTAATGTTTATCAGAAAACTAAAACCTCCGTTTATGAGCCTGTTTAAGAAATGCTTATGGTCAGCTCAAATAGGATTTTATTTGTAAAATTTCTGTAAACATTATATTATATAGTAAAATCTGCGACAGCAGGAACCTGTGTAAGGAAGAAACCTGTCGAGAAGGAAGACGAAATTATTTTCTGCTAATAGAGAGTGACAGAAAAATGGTAAAACTGCACCCTGTCAAAGGCTGAAAACTCACAAAGCTGGAAAAGTAAGCAGTCCCATTGAGTTCTGGCTCTCCCCATTTCACTGTATTATATTAAAGGGTCAACAATAAAATAATTTGATTTGCTAATATTTAGTCCTTAAGTTTTCAGAAAGCTTGCTTGTGCCCTTTCAGTAGGAAACATCAATATGAAACAATGTATTCACACATTCAGAACTTCATTACTTAAAAGAAAACAGTCAGTAAGTAAAGACAGAGGCAATATCACAGATAGGACCATAATGCTGGTATCACAGAAGAGAAGGAAGCCCTAACACCTGCTCTGTCAATAACAAGCCAGACCAAATAAAGGTAAAGATGCTTCCCAGGCCTGATGCCTTCAAGACCTGAGGGACAGGCTTCACAGTAAGCCCTAAGGATGTGCACACCTTGTCTCAACACCTAGCAGAACCAACCACCCCCTAATGAGATCCCTTGCCCACCCAAGCTAAATGCTCCTCCTTGTCCAAACAGGATTCACCAGAGAGCCAAGAAACAAGAGACACTCTGGACCCAGGGACACTGGAAGAACCAGTTAGGGCAGCAGTGTCACTGCCTTTCAAATATCACATCTGATGCTCACAACCACCCACCAAGGGGTGAGAGATGCAGGACTATCCCCAGTGTGGACAGGAGAATGGACAGGAGCTTAGAGAACTAAACAGATTTGCCCAAGGTCAAGCAGCAATACTAGACATAAACCAGTAACTACACAAGAGGGGTCACATCCCCAACACTACCCGAGCCCCACTCGGAATATACTCTGACGTGAAAGCACTGTTTTGTCAGCCCCTCCTCACAATCCATCCAAAGGTCTTCAAGTTTTGGCTTTCCTGCCTAAGTGCCCAGAAAGCAAGAAGGCAGACTGGCCCCGTTAGGGGGCAGTGAAGGGAGGGGAGCACTTTCAAGAGGTGGTCACCTCCAGGTGACAAAGGATGCCCCTGGCCCCATCAGGGAGCGTCGGGCCAGATTCCTCTGCTGAGTGGTGGAACAAGAGGGGAGCAGCTTCTCAGATCAATGGAGACGAGGGGTGAAGGATCCAGAAGAGCAGGATGCCACATCTCAGGAAACCTGAACGTCAGCAAAAGTGAGTAAATACCACCATGAAACCATAATCGTCTCTAGAAGCTCACCAAAGACAATTCAAACTAAGGAATCTTATTCCCCCACTATGGAGATAACGGCAGTTCTGATTTTGCACATATACATGTGTTCTGGAATTTTAGTGATTTCCCCTAGACATAAAAAAGAAATAACTTTTCAAAAAAGTCACACCCAGTCACATCTGAGATGGGACAGCCAGCCTCTAATTTCACCTGCACATGAGCAGGGGCCCAAATCAGACCACAGGCAGGAGCAGAAATTAATTCTTTGTCAAGCACCCTGAGACTTTCAGGCTACACACTCAGCAAGTGCAGCAAGATCTCACGTTTTGGTTAAAATTATATATGCACAGAAAAAGACATACCGCAAAATGCTAATAAAAGTTATCCCTAGCTAATGAAGTTAAGAGAGGTTTTTTCTTCTTCACTGTAATTTTATTTACAGTTGGCCCTTGAACAACACGGGTTTTAACTGTGCAGGTCCACTTATATGCAGATTTTTTTCAAGATACGGATCTTGGAGGAACTCAACAGCTAACAGACACCACAGCAGAGGAACAAACAGATGACTTGATGGAGGCGAGTGCATCCGAACCAGTGTAGGATGACGGGAAGAAGACGCAGAAGCAGCAGCGCCAGAAAACAAAGTGACATTAGACAATCTGGCAGAAGCATCTGATTATTCAAGACTGCTTTCGACTTCTTTTACGACATGGACCCTTCTATGACGGGGCACTGAAACTAAAGCAAACAGTGAAAGAAGGATTGGTACCACATAGAAACAGTTTTGGAGAAACAAAGAAGTAAAAAAGTCAGACAGAAATTACGACGTGTTTCTGTAAAGTTCCATCAAATGTACCTTTCTCTCCTGTCTCCCCTTCCACTTCCTCCACCTCTTCCCCCTTTCCCACCCCTAAGAATGCATCATCAACTCCCCCTTCTCCTCCTCCTCAGCCTACCTATCATGAAGATGAGGATGAAGACTTTCATGATGAGCCCCTTCTACTTAAAGAACAGTAATCAATCATTACACTGTACAGTTAATAAACTTATCTGTCGTGTATGTGTGAGTGTCTTCATGTGAAAATCTAGTAACAGTATGGCAAAGAACGATGCTAATCAACTGTTCATGTTCTTGGTAAGGTCAACAGTAGGCTATTAATAAAGCTCTTGGGGAGTCAAAAGTCATACGTGGATTTTTGACTGTGTGGGGGTCAGTGGCCCTAACCCCCACATTGTTCAAGGGTCAACTATGTATTTATAAGCAAATATTATTTCTAATCAAATATTAGTCTTCTACTCAGAAAAAAAATAAAGCTATTCTTTCAGGGGAAAAGAGTATACAATTTCACATCCAATATAATCTCAATTATATAAAGCATACATAAACAGAAATAACTCTGGCAATCCATTAAAATATTAATAATGAATAAATTCGGTGGATCTGCTTTTAGGCTAATGTACCTGTCTAGACAGGCCTATGTTCTTTTTCAGATGTTTCAACTTATCGTTACTTTGGGAGAGTCTGAAATCAGTAGAAAATTAAGATCAGATAAGTTTCAATCTTCAGGTTTATAATACGGAAATCTCTTAATTTTATTGACTTCAATTTTGTGATTTCTGTCAGTTTCTGGTTGTTACATCATGAAACAGACCAGCTATATAATTTTGATTTGAGATTTTTCCAATTCATATAGAAATCAAATCATCTCCTCTAGCTAAAGCTCATCAACAGACCAAGAAAACAGTAGGGCCACAGAGTCCTAAAACTGTACCCATTTTAACAGCCTTATTTCTTGCTTATCATGATCAAGAAATACAAATTCACCATTTCTGCCTTCCTTTTCTAAGAAACTACCTTCCGCCATTTCCTTTCAAAGATGACAGGAATTAATGACACAGGACAGACACTGTGTATCCCAACAACCACCCACCGACTTCTGCAACCAACTGGGTGCTCAGTGCTCAGTCTGCTGGCGGTTTCAAGAACCACAGCCTCTCCCCAGCTGAGGCCTCTTTCTTGAGAAGCAATTCACAGATCCCCCTACTCACACATCAGCTCCAGAACCCACCCAAATCCATCATGATACCACAAAGAAAGGCCAGAGCAGGAGGGAGACCTTACAGGTGCTTTAACAGAGAGGCATCCTTGCCGAATATATTCAATTGCAGCCTCTATTGAGGTCAGGCAGTACCCCAATTCATCTTTTGCAGAGCTGCTAAACCTGAAGTTTTTGATATAGCTCAAATTCGCCATCCTAACAAAAGAAAGGGAAAATGTTTTATCATTTATATCCAGTGAATACTTCCGCAAAAACAGTGCTATCAGCTTGGCTGACTGATCAAATACCTAAAGGAAGTTGGGTTATTCTCTGGGGAGCTATGATTATTACTTCCTTGATCTCTATTTAGAATGTGTACAATTAGGAAAATAAGTAAAACTACTTGTTACTTTTCTGGATTAAGCATATTATTGTAAAGTGGGCTGTGAGGTCTTAAGGGAAGAGGATGCGCTTTGGGGTCAGACAGAACTGGTATTCCACTCAGCCACCGGGTAAGCTGTGTGTTCCAGTACAAGAAATGCAAGTTGTACAGGCCTTGGGTGAAGGGAACACGTACAGCATCAGGAGGTGTCCAATTAAAGGCAGCTCTTCCTAGAGCTATACTAAAAACTACCACAGTACCGTGCTGCCACTTTGCAAAAGTATTTTAACAAAAAAGTTACCAGTTGGGGATCTCTGTTTTCACAAGCAAATATAACAGGACTGACAGCAGATCATCAGCACACATGGTCTCCAAGTTAACTGAAAGGGGAAAAACATATTCAAAGACTCAAATGGACCAATAAGCGTGTCGACTTCCCACCACCATCCAACCCACAAAACCACAGTGCAGTAAGATTACACATCAGAGCGAAATGTGACTGCACCCTTTTTGTCAGCATCCTGTCTAGATGTCAGATTAAAGGGGGAAAGAACACTTAGCATGTTTAGAACATGCACAGAAGGAGGTATTTCCAAACAGACGACCCCTCCCCATCTTCATGGATTGGTAAAGAGCCCAGGGAAATCGGTGACAGCGCGCAAAGTAAAGATGTGCCCAGAGCCTTTAGCAAAGCCTCTCCTTCTGCCTGAGGTCATACCCACTTTATGCACTGTGGAGTCTAAGGCCCATGTGTAGTTTGACTGCACTGTTTTCATTTTGAAGTTCTGTTTAAATAATTCATTGACATGTTTAAAAATTCAAATGGTAAAAAGAGCAAACTGTGAGTGTCTTCTTTTCCAGAAGCTATTGCTGTTGCTTCCTGCATATCCTTCCAGAGACAGTCTACGTACATACCATCATATATTTGGATATGTAACCCTTCCCTTCATTTTTAACGCTGTTGGAAGTGTACCAGATTCACTTTCTTTATTTCACTTAGTATGCCTACAAAATGATTCCCTAACTGCACACATAGATTTGTGGGGCCTTCTTATCACATTTTTCTTAATTTACTTTGTTTCATTTTACTTTTTATAATGGAAAATTATAAACATATAAGCAATTTGAGAGAAGAGTGTAAGAAACAGTTGAACCATGTATTCATCACCAGTTTGGTTCATTTTTAAAGTTGCTGCTTCCCTGACACCATTTTCTCACCCTAATCATGCCTGACCTACTCACCCATGGCTAGGACACCCTACTAATCAAGAGTGGACGTGGGTGTTCTCATACTGGAACACACAGGCTAAATATCAAAATACCAGCCCCATGTGAATGACTGTTGCAGTCAACACTATTCCTTTACAGACTTTTTTCAGCTTGTTGTTGTTGTTATTGTTGTTATGTGCCGTCGTTGAGTCGGCCCTGACTCATAGCGACCCCTCCTTGGGTTTCCGAGGCAGTATCACTACGGAAGTAGGATTGCCCAACAGCTAGTGGACCTATATACCCCTTGCCAGCCCTTCCCACAGCACACACCTCTCTGGCTAGGAGACTGTGTAATTAACTGCACTGCCTTTCGCAAACAAACCAACTTCTGTTGTGGGGAGGTGCATTTGTTCAGCTGGGCCAGTTCCCTCTTTGCACGAGGTATGTTGAAGCTGTAAAACAATTTGGGAAGTGACACTTAAGACCACAGTGTGAAGGCCCTTCTTCCTGATAACATATCTCAAGTTATAAACTTCTTACAACCAATGGCTATGGCTGAAATTCAAAACCAGAAACACAAAAATGATCTGACTCAAGTCAGTAGCAAGACATAACAGGATAAAGGCCCCCAGTCAGACTGCCAGGTGATACAGCAGCCCTAGAAATTTGCAATTAAAAAAAAAGAAAAAGAATATCCTTAGCCCCAGAAGGAAACAAGCCAAAAGGAAAGGAAAAAAAAAAATTTAAATGAAATAGTTCAGACAATTTTGTACCTTGGTGACACTTAAATCAACCTGGCCACTGTGGCCAGGTTCCCCAGGACAGGCAGGTGAGAGGCAATATCTGCATGCAGGACCCACCCAGGCAAGTTACATGCCCACCTGGAGACCAGCTGTACTAAATCCATCCTGTTTAGTTCCCATCTAGCTGGATGCAATGTTCCTAGGAAAGAGGCAATGTTCCTAGGAGGGTGACAGCTACAAACTGGCCATCTATCAACTTTAGCCTTTTATATTTGGTAACAGATAACTGCAATACTCCATAGTTCTAACAGAGTCAAATTACTGAGCTGCAACTGCTGCTGAGATGCCCTACTCCAGGGAGAGAAGCAGTGGCCAGCCTCCGAACACACCAAGCCACCGCAGCACAGGCCCTTACCTGAACTCAGGTTTCACACCAATATCTTTCTGTTGAAGATCTTGAAGGCTTCTTGTGATTTTGTTAAAAGCAGCATCCTAACAACAGATTTTAACAAAACTTCAAATTTCTTAAAAAGCACAGACTAAGGCTTCCATCCCAGGGGCAGATGATTTTGAACTTACCTCACTTGCTTCCACAGTCCCCACATATTTAAAGATCAGATCATAAATATCATGATGGACGTACATCTGTGAAATCAATGGACCCATTTCAGGGTGTGTGTTGGGCAGCCAGGAGATTCTCCCAAGCACTGCCACCTTCTGCTTCCTTGGTACCTTGGCCTCTTACCTCTACTGCCTGCTTCATCAGGTTCATTTGGGCCTCCTGCTTGGCAAGTATTTTCTAGGACAAGAAAAGTGCAGATAAAGAGCTTGGATTTGCATGTGGGCAAACTGCAAGCTCTTTTAAATGTCCGACATTGCTTACCAGGTGAGAGTCCCTCAGAAGCTGCTGGAGACACTTGGTGTAGAGAGTGTTCACCGAATCCTGTTGCGAGATCAGAAAGAGACAGGCCACTATCATGACTGGAGGCCATATGCAAAACTCAGAATGCATACATGGCTTGGGATGAGGAGAACACTTCACAAACTATAGTTCCCTAGATAACAAGCTTTAATTAAATACTATCGCAAGTACTGAATAAATTCCTTTTTTTTTTTTTTTTTAAACAAATCATTGAGTTACTTCAAGTTTTTTGCAGGTAATATGCACTAAGAGTAGGAAATAATTTCCCTTGGGATTCATCTAGGTGACTCTAGTCATCATCTTTATACTCTCCATGATTTTCAAGTTTTCAATAGTCACTTTTATTATTTTCATAATTAGAAATGAAACATTTAAACAAAACTCCCAACAGTAGAAGCAGTGACCAAGTGTCAGAGTAAATGGAGAGGACTTCTGGAGCCCTGAAATGGCCTGAGACAGAGCAGGTATGCCTAGCAGGGAGAGACACAGCTACTGACTATGTGGTGACGGAGGCTTTTTCTTTCACACTCTCTGAATGCTCGCTGGAAAGAGGCAATGTTCCTGTCAAATCTCTCCGAATGTCTTCCCAAAAAGTCTCTCACATCTTCAATGGTTCTCAGAGAAAAAGGATCTGGGGGTGTTGAAGGCTCTTCTGAAAAAGAGACAGAGGGTCAAGCTGGCTGCAGACTTCACTGTTTTCTGATGGAAAAAAAGGCATATCCTTTGCCACAAACTACCAAGACCAGGTGCTCTACAGTGTCTGCAGCCCCATCTTCCAGCACAGGAGGCAGAGGGGAAAAATGTCTTTATTTCAAGATACTGCCCAAGAGCAGCTCAGTCAAAGTACAGGGCAAGGTCCAGAGTCTAGTTCTCTTGAAGCCCTTTCCTGGGACAGTGTGGGACTATCTGGGATTGGGAGCATGACCTGGGAAGCTCAGGGGAAGGAGCGCTGATGCCTGGCAACAAGGCTTACCAAGAGCCTCCAAAGGCATCTGGCACATCAAATGTTACCTCAACTTCCTGGAGAGACTGAAGAATTTTTATGTATTAAAAATAATGAGATCTCAAACAGGCACAACAATGAAGCTGGGGAGGTAATAATGCTGTAACGGCAAGCCCTAAAGCTGAGACCCAGAGACAAAGCCAGGTTACAGCAACGCTTCGCTCTAGGAGATGACATCATGGTCTATCACAGGTACGTGAAGTGAGTGATGCCCCTGGAACTGCGCAGTATCCATCCCGTGCAACTGTACACAGCAGCCCAATCTCTACCTCCTTAGCACAAGATGACTTTTTTTTTTTAAGTTCTAGGGAAAATAACTGTAAACAGTTATGGAGATTTTTAGTGAGATATTTACAACAGCGAATTCAGGAAGAAATTCAACAAACATATTTCTCCAAATCTGGAAAAAGGGGCCCCCATCTCCCGGGAATACCTGAACTCTCTCTCTTTTCCAAAGGATGGGCGATACACAGTATACTGAAACTTTCTTCTTTTTCATTGTAGAAGGTTTCTTCAAAGAGAATGGGCACTGAGAGAAGACAGGCGGAACCAGTTCCTAATTTAATCCTGTTTCCTTGTATACAGACATCCTGGAAGAAGAAAGCCATCACTGCACCACAGCCCCTCTCAGCCCAGCCCCCATGACGGCACTTAGCCAGACTGTCCCGCCTTCACTCCACTTGGGTTTGCTGGCGCACAAAACTCTTCTTCTGTTTTGCTCTTCTTGATGCTAAAGTATCATCTTCTTTCCTCTTTTCACCCTGTAGCTACAAAGTACCCTGATCCTTTTTAAATGGTGTAGAGAAATAGCATTAAACTGCTCTTTAGTGAAGAAGAAACCCGTACCTTTTGAGAAAAGAAAAAAGAAGGCTCTGCTAACAGAAATAAGACCAAAACCACCTCTGCTCCAAACTGGACGGGGCTGAAGATTGTACCCGACAGCCCCCTCCCTGGCTCATCACAGTCATAGCCACAGCCAGGTGCCCAGCGAAGACAAGCCATGATAAGCCAGATTCCTGTTTTCTTTTTAGATCTGGGTACTCAAGAGAGAGCAAATAAGCTAACAAGTGACTGACAGTTATGGTGAACAGATCCATGGAAGAAAACAGCCACATGCCTTGGGAATCCCAGGGCTGCCGAGCCTGAGCCCACGCTCTGTAACCCTATCCTCTGTCCCTCTTCCCCCCACCACACTGCCCATGAGCCTCAACTACCAAGTCCAAGAGGCCAGACCGCAGCCCATGCATCAGTGAGAAAGGTGGTGTAGACTCAGTCCCCTGACTGAGGGGAAAATAGCCGTCAGCACTGACTAGAAGGAAATGTCTCCCTTTCAGAACTCACCTGCTTCCACTTTTAAAAAATGCACACCCCAAAGTTTACATCAACAATAATGAGACAACTGACAGCACATGCCTCCTGACATGATACTCTGAGAAAGATAAAATATCCTTCTGTGGTGTTCCTACAAAAAACATGTAACTGCAATCCAATCATGAAAGAATATCAGACAAAACCACACTGAGCAACAGTCTACAAAACAAAACACCAGTGTCTTCAAAGACAGAAATACTAAGGAGCTGCTCCAGATTAAAGGAAACCAAAATATATATATATATTTAGTACAAAAATGAGCAAAATTGTATAAGAATTGTATGTTGGATAATTGTATCCTATCAATGTTAAATTTTCTGAATGTGATCACTACACTGTGGTTATATGAGACAATGCTTGTTCTTAGGAATTTACTCTCAAAAGATTTTAAAAAATCATAATATGAGCATATATCAATTTGTTAAAATGTAGTCTCCCCTAAAAAAAAAGCAAAAATGTTAACAGTTGGCCCATCTTAGGGAAGGGCATACAGGTGTTCTCTGTACTTTACTGCAATTTGAAAATAGAAGGTCTTAAAAACTAAAAATTCACCACTGATGTCCAGCTTGTGACCAAGAAACCACCCAGCTTTCCAGGGCACAGGTATAAAAACAGCTTCCTGTGACAAGGCCTGCACTGAGGAGAAAGCCTTCTAGAATCCCGACAGGCAGAAACACCTCCTGAGGGAGAAGTACCCAGCCTCTCCTCCAACCTCCAAGGAAGCAGCTGGGCCCTACTCACTCTTACCTTCTCTTCTTTCTCCACAGGCTCCAAAACACAAGCAGGGGTCCCTCCAGCCCCCTCCCAAGGCTGCTGAATGTGCCAAAAGCCAACATTTTAACTTAAGTGAGAAAGGATGAGAAGCAGGATTCTCTTTCCTCCCTCCCAAACACTGAGAGAGTGACCCTGGTTAAATCCAGAAAAAAATGATTACCTTTCCATCTAAGGTCTGAAAATGGTCTTCCACTGGAATCAAAATGTAGGACTCAAACCGACAAGCAGACTGAACACTGCTTGACAGGCTTCCTTTGCAAGGTACTAAGACCTAGAAGAAAATAATTAGGATGATTACTAGAGAGATGTGTCATTGACAAGTTTAGCAGAATAGGATGTACCCAAAGACACTACAGCTGGGTTTGTTTGGCGGACCTACTAGCAGAGAGAATGCCTGGGGTCACTTGCCAAAATGGCAGCAGCTACCCACCAGGTGATTTAATCTGTTGTTGTGATGTGAGCAGATGCCCCCAACTCCACAGCAGATGGAGGGCAGTACAACTCCTTTTCCATGTTTTGGCATGGAGACACCTGGGCTCATCTCCACACTCACTGTGTTCCTCCTCTTAGCTACTCCCATGTGCTCCACTTTCTTTTCAAAAGTCCAGTTACAAGCATCAACAGGCTCAGGAATGATTCCAAAGAGGGGCCAGTTTGAAACGTACAGAAAAATGAAACTAAAAAGTCACATATAATCTCACCACCCAAAAGGTACACACTTGACACTGAAGACTGTTTCTGATTGTTTTTACTGTATCTGTTTCATTTAAAAAAACAAAAAACAAACCTAGCAGTGATCATAGTTTTTGAAAGGATGCTGTTATCGATGGAATTATGTCCCTGCCATGCTGTAAATTACTTAATATGGCCCTTCTAGCCATGGTCTTTCTGGCTTCTACCAAATAACTGGTGAGACTATGCAAATATGAGGTGCTTATGGCCCACAAGGGGATTGGATAATTTGCCGAGAACTCTACATGGGAATAAAACGCACGCACTGCCACCACTGAGTCAGATCCGACTTATAGCGACCCCTCCTTGGGTTTCTGAAGTGGTATCATTAAGGAGGTAGACTGCCCAACCTTCCTTTCGAGGAGTGGCTGGTGGGTTTGAACCGCCAGCCTTCTGGTTAGCAGTCAAATGCCTTAAGCACTACACCACCAGAGCGCCTCCTGTGGGAATGGGACCAGGAAATTAGGTGTACGGAACTGTAACATGGGGAATGGTCAGTTTTACCATTCTATTGGGCTTAAAATGAGCCATCACATAGGCAGAAAGGGGGGACCTGACTACCACCAAAAAGAAGAGCTGGGAGCAGAGTGCCCTGTGCTGGGAATGCCGTAAGATACAGGAGATAGATCTGTGACACCAGAGAGATGGTGAGAAGTGGCAACAGAGGCAACAGAACCAGAAGGGCAGCAGGAGACCGCATGGTGGACCTCCTGGCCCACGGAGCAAGACACAGAGTACCTCTGGGCAGGAGGCTTCCTGGTGGAGTAGACTACCTGGAGGCACTCAGTGCAGCTAAGTTTCCCAACCCATGGAGCTAGAGCAAAGCTAAAAGAGCTTTGTAACGCTTGCCCAAGCAGTGCAAAGATCAAGGGGTCAATAGTTCAAGGACCAGAGGGAGGCATAAGAAGAGTCCGTCCTGATCAAATAACTGTATATCCTAAGTTGTTTCTGATCCTCAATTGTAACCTGTTATTTCCCTAATAAACCCCATAATCCTGAGTATTGCCTGTGAGTTCTGTGTGGCCAATACAATGAATTATTGAACCCAGCAGGGAAGTACAAAGTGCTACGCAAGGGATGGTTGGTATCACAATTGGTAAAAAGGTTGGCAGATGAAGGCATGTCTGACCCCCGCTTCATAACCCCCTGTCCTAATGAAAGCCCACACAGGGCTCAAGAAGCAGACAGCCCAGATTCCTCTGCTGGCTTCACACTTCCCAGGCCACCCCTTGTATCTCCAGCTCTTGCAGGTCAAAGTGGGGACAGTGAGAGCACCTGCCACACAGGACTGTAGGGAGAATAGAGTGACATCATCACCTGGTGCATGGCACATAACCTAACTCTATATGGGACACAGCTCACATTACTATTTGTTTTGGTTCTCTAGTGCTGCTATAATAGGCATACCACTAACAGGCGGCTTTAATACACAGGAGTTTATTCTCTTATGGTTTAAGAAGGCTAGAAGTCCAAGTTCAAAGTGCCAACTCTAGGGGCTGGGTGAAGGCCCCTTGACCTTGGGCTTCAGCTCTACCTCTTGCTCCCAGCCCACTGAAGCTGGAGGCATCTCAACTCAGGCAGCTGTTGGCTGCTGAGGCTAACAAGCCCAAGGACACAAAGTAAAATGGCACAGTCCCAAGATTAGCAAGCAGTATGACAAGCCACCAAGTTCATCTAGAAACAGTCCCAAGATCAGCAGGCAACATGGCAGGCGGCTGAATGAAGACTCAACCACATGCAGTATCCAAGAGTGCCAAAAAGCTCAGAGACCTTTCTCAAAGCTTCTTCTTATACAATGGAAGCAGCCCACATCCCTAGGGCAGCTACTCAGCTACTCATAGGAGATTCCACCATGGAGTTAATTACCAGTCTCATCATGGGGAATAACTACATCCAGCTGCCCAGCCACTCAACCAGGCCCAGCCAAGCTGACACATAACCTTAACTACCACACCATTAGAGATGGTCTTTTTCCTACTGAGCTCTTAAAATAGCCCACAAGTTGCTGGGGCTTAATTGTTGGTCCTCAGAGTGTTGAGGGGCTATCAGTGGAAGAGGAATAAAAGCCAGCTGCTAGCTCTGTCCTGGCTGTGTGCGTTCTGATGTTAGATGACCACTGGTTAGGACAGCAAGAGCTGATCCTAGCTAAAGGCAGAGAAATAAATAAACCATTCCTCAGGCTCCTTCCAAATCTAAAAGTTAATGATTCATAGGGTTAGATCAAAATTGAAGTTTGAGAAACCAGTAAAACTCCCCTGGCAATGCTATTCTTCTAATTGCTTAAAATGCCTTGAAATGAGCATTGTCTGAGGTTGATATGGTTGAGTAGGTTAACATCCAAATTCTATACTGTATTACATTAGGGTTTTGGCTGCAGGAGGAAGAGGAAATATTTTAGGAGTAAGAAATGGTCCTACTTTTCTCCAAAGCCAAACTCACTGCTCTCTTTACATGGTTTCTCCAACTTTATCATAAAAATTTTCAAACATGCAGAAAAGTGGAAAATAAAATGAATATCCACACATACACAACCAAAAATTAACAACTGTTAACAATGTGCTGTATTCTTGCAGTCTTTAAATCTAAGAAAAGAGGCTCATTTGGCAATACCATCTTAAACGGGATTGTACAAAACTGAGCAACGGCTACCATTTCTTGAGCAATAATATGTGCTGGGTACCATGTCAATTAGTTCATAAAGATTATCACCTCAGCCCCTCAATGGATGGAACAGATAGACAAAAGGTGATATGTACAATGGAATATTACTCAATGATTTAAAAAAAAAAAAAATTTCCTCAGACATCTTACAATGCGACTGGCTGTACCTCACTCTGAGTAAAATAAGTCAACACAAAAGACAAATATTGTATGTTCTCACTTTTCTGAACTGACATGAACAGGTAAATATATGTTGTGGTCAAGTTTCACTGAGTTGGTTTTGACTCACGGCAACCCTATGTACCATGAATGAAACGCTGCCCAGTCCTGCGCCACTCTCACAATCTCCATCATGCTTGAACCCACTGTTACAGCCACTGTGTCAATCTATCTCGTTCAGAGTGTTCCCCTTTTTCTCTCACCCTCTACTTTCTCAAGCATGATATGCCTCTCAAGGGACTGGTCTCTCCTAGACAACACAACCAAAGTACAAGAGATCGAATCTGGCCATTCTCACTTCTAAGGAGCATTATGGCTATACTTCTTCCGAGACAGATTTGTTCCTTCTGGCAGTCCATGGTACATTCA